CTTTTCATGAAAGAGTGCAGGAAGAAGGAAGAAGGAAGAGCTTATAAGCCCTGTTCCACACGGCACAGTAAACACTCAAGGGCTGCGTTTTACTCCACTTTTAGAAATGCACTCGCGAACTTCCCTCAGCACTTCCCAATCGCCGCCATTTTGAAGTGCGTTCAACTTCGTAAAGTGGGCGAGGGAACTTTATTTGGACTGACCCTCGACCCCTCGTCCGCAATCGCATACTCCCATTGAGTTAATTACTTAATAACTGCTAAAAAAAAGTATGTTCTATATATTAGTATGATAATCCTCGCTGCATTTATGTCTATTTTTATGTCCTCTCGTTTACTCGGATGTACGTCATTGGTTACGTTGCACGAGCGCCCACTACTGGCAGAACCCTTGAAATGTGTTTAAATTTAACGCACTAACCTTGATCACTTGAAATCCACACTGGAAATTATTTATAGTTTTTTCCCCTTATGAATTTGTTTCATTCTATACTGCAGGCCTGTATGTGGGCTTTTGGAGAAAATATAAAAATTACACAAACGAAAATGATACAATAAAATATGTGTAAAAAAAAAACAGTCAGTTAGCTACACGTAGGCCTATTTAATGTGGTTAAATGTCAAAATAGCTCACTAGAGTTGTGTGGGCTGGGGGTAAAATAAGGCCATTGTGGTCTATGGATCTGCCTGATGTGTATGTTGAGTCAACTCGCTCCCTCTGTCAAGATCGAGGGGTCGAGGGTCTGCCCAAATAAATTCCCTCACCCACTTGTTGACGAAGTTGAACGCACGTCAAAATGGCGGCGTGGATTCCCCTGAGGGGAAGTGCTAGGGGATTTTTTTTTTCTTAATTGAACTTTCAAAATTACAGAATTCAACAGCAAGTTCTTGACACATTAAATTTCTTTTACACATTTTCACATTTTGAAAATGAAACGCGTGCAACAATGGCGGCGGGGAAGTTTGCGAGTGTATACCTAAAAGTGGAGTTAAACATAGTAAAAGAAAAACACAGTTAAACACAGTCCCAGACACATTCACCATGTTGTCATAAATATGTAGCCTAATCTACCAACGTCGCTTCACTGTCATTCATAAATCCTCTCCTGTGGCCTCATGGGATAGTAAAATGTCAATCATACTTCAGAATCTCACCAGAAGTAGATCATCCGGGTGCATTCACCTCTTTTATGAGCACTGTAAATTCATCTCAGACATACTTCTTTTGTCACATAGGCCTATTGTTTTTCACATACTATATAATGGGGAAGTGCGTGATTTCAGATGCAGCCAACATGTACATTTCAGACAGATCCATAGACCACAATGCACCATGATAGTGACATCACAGCAGATTGTGCCTAACTGACCCCCAACCCACACAACTAGTGTATGATATTGGAGTTATTTTTACATTTAACCGCATAATGCCTCAAGCTGACTGATAGTTTATTGTAAATCAGGTTATAGTTATCTTTTAGTATGGTTCCATTTAAACACACTGCAAGGGTTCTGCCAGTAGGACGCGCATGCAACGCAAGCAATGACGTACATCCGAGTAAACAAGACGGAGGGAAGTTACAAGTTAGTGGCAAGGGGTAATCCATCGACCGGAAGTTGAAGCCGGCCGGGTGCCGCCATCCATAGACAGTATAAGAAGTGGACAGAGCCATCTCATTGGAACTCAGTTGAGACAGTTGAAGCCCATTTTTAGCGATTTTTGAGCACTTCCGTTCCTGACGCGCAGACTCAAACCGACTCAAACTAAGCTTGATGACGTGAGCAACCTGTCTGACAGACGTTAATCTTCTAGTGGCTGTGCGTGAAAATTGCCAACGTTAATCTTGCAGAGACGGGGAACTTGAGCAAAGAGTTCTTTGGCGTGAGTGAGCAGGAGTAAGTATTCCGTTGCTTTTATGGACTCATTATCTATGGGCTTCTCTCTTGACGGGACGTCCCCCCGATTGCCTGCGAGCTTCTCCTCCTGTCTGTACGGTCATTTCTGTACAGCGCGACAGAGAGTCGAGTGGTTATGACGCAATCGTTCAGCCTATTTTTACTAAATCTGTTTCTACGGGGCCATAATGTAACATAGAAGGTAATGGAGCCTTTTATACATCGTCGTGTTTCTTTAGAAATAAATAATGGACAAATGGAGTCTTTAAACGCCCCAGATGTAAAGTTATTCGCTGTCAAAGTGACGCCAAAATGAATGGGAGTCAATGGAAATGCTAACGCAAGTGAAGTTCTGCTACACGATGGCGGCCAAGGGGACATCCATCGACCGGAAGTTGAAGTCGGCCGGGTGCCGCCATGTTGTAGCAGAACTTCACTTGCGTTAGCATTTCCATTGACTCCCATTCATTTTGGCGTCACTTTGACAGCGAATAACTTTACAGAAACAGATTTAGTAAAAATAGGCTAACGATTGCGTCATAACCACTCGACTCTCTGTCGCGCTGTACAGAAGTTACCGTACAGACAGGAGGAGAAGCTCGCAGGCAATCGGGGGGACGTCCCGTCAAGGGAGAAGCCCATAGATAATGAGTCCATAAAAGCAACGGAATACTTCCTCCTGCTCACTCACGCCAAAGAACTCTTTGCTCAAGTTCCCCGTCTCTGCAAGATTAACGTTGTCAATTTTCACGCACAGCTACTAAAAGATTAACGTCTGTCAGACAGGTTGCTCACGTCATCAAGCTTAGTTTGAGTCGGTCTGAGTCTGCGCGTCAGGAACGGAAGTGCTCAAAAATCGCTAAAAATGGGCTTCAACTGTCTCAACTGAGTTCCAATGAGATGGCTCTGTCCACTTCTTATACTGTCTATGGTTAGTGGCCCTAAAAAAAAAAGTTAGTGGCCCTGTCCCAAATGGCACCCTAAGCCCTCGCGATCTTATACACTTTCATGACGTATGACGCTTTGCCTGTCGGGAAGAAGTCTGCTACGGATCTCGGCACATCGAGGGCGCATAGGGGACGCTCGGAAGCACACTTTTAAAACCTAAAATGACAAATGGGACACCATTCAGTCTCGTGGATTTCACGATCACTCGGCCATCAAGTCCATTAATGCTGCCTTCACATGCTATCGGAATTATCGTACTAGTTTTCTAGTTAAAAAATCGGACATGGACGAGTCAGAATGACCTCTGAAGTCAAAATTTGAATGCAATGAGCTCGTAATCATGACTTCAGAAGTGGGAAGTAGGAAATTTCCGATAATTAAGGCTGCGTTCCAGTCCACTATTATACACGCACTTGCGAACTTCCCTAAGCACTTCCCCTCGGGGGAATCCCTGCCACCATTTTGAAGTGCGTTCCACTTAGTGAAGTGGACGAGGGAAGTTTATATGGACAGTCTACTTCATATGTACACTTCAGAGAGCGCCATATACCACAATGCAACACGATTGTGACGTCGCCGCAGATCTCGTCTAATCACCACCACCACAAACAACTCGATGATATATTAATTATATTTTTTTTCATTTAAAACAGCCCAAACACACCTACATACATTTGGATGCCGCATTAAACAAATTCTTAAAGGGGAATTCTTTTAATAATGATAAATCAACTTCAGCTGATTCCAAGAGAACAAGGGCCCATAGCAGTTTCCGCCAGTGGCACTCGTGCAACGTAGGCAATGACGTATATCCGAGTGATCGAGACGGAGGGAAAGTAGCGAGTGAAATTTTGGACTGGAACGCATAAGTCCACAAGACTGTAAGTACATGTGAAGTGTGCAATTTGGGACAGGGCCAAAGTAGGCAAACAAAGCTAATCCATGACACAATTTTCTTTAATTGACCACTAAGAGAAAGTGGAATTTTATTGTCTTAGGTGAATTATGAAAAATAATGATTCATAAAATAGAATGAGTTTAATGGTGTCACAATAAAAGAGCAAAAAAAAAAAAGAAATAAAAAAGGAATATGTCAGTCTATCAACTACAATGAATTCTCATTTCTCTAAGTTTGTAAAGGATGCAGTTATGTCTCAAGTTCATTAAAAATATATTATTGTCACTTACAAATTTGTTATGGCAAATACACATTTGGCAGCTACAAAACCAACCTTTGAAAACAGAAAGAGACGAGGATAAACAGATTATTTTTTTTATTTTTTTTGCTATGAAAATGTTCTTTTTAATAATAAAAAGTTCTGACAGTAAATAAAACCTGGCTTCTGACAGGATGTGGTATAACACAGAAGCAGAGGTCAGATATGATGTAAACAGAGTAAAAGGTCAATGATTAATCGTGAAGCTGTTACAAAATGTTTTATCTCATAAAAAGCTTACATTTCAATTTAAGTACCTATTGAAGAAAAATTGCAAACATCAACCTGAATGATTCTCAGGTCCCTTCATAAGTACGATGGTTATTGATCTGTCCATCTTTAAATACCTTCATAACAGAACTGAAAAAAAAAACACTCACATAATGGACTTTTTTTTTGTAGTGTTCACTTTCCCTGTTGTAGTTTTTAAGAAACTCATTGTTTGACTTCATAGTTAATCCGGCTGCTTGTTGGCCTGTAAGACTACAACGGGACAAAATCCAGTGGAAAAAAAGAAAAATAGCCAATAAATATTCAAGCTCAGATATGTAATATTTCAAAAAACAAGATGTATGATACATTCTAAATATGCCATAAATACATTTCCCCCAAATTACAGACTTTGATGCAATGCTCTATAAGGCACAATATAATCTATTGAAATTCAGTTATTGCTTTAAAGGACCTTGTCAGCCAAAAACTGACAACACATGATACTTCCCCCAAAGTCATAATGGAATGAACAGATGTCAATTAAAAAGTAAACGTACCAATAATATGTGGCCACACATATTGGGGTCATATTTCACCCAAAATTTAAACAAAATAAATGATGCCTTCCTATTTTTTCACACTTTCCCCAAAAATTCTCATTACCATAATGCAAAATAATTGCATTATCCACAAAAAAAAAATGTGTTAACCTCTTAAGTATTTATACATCATGGCTGTAGTAGTTGATCGGTCTTCCATTTATGCATATTTAAATAAAACTATTGTTTTGCAGTAATGTTCTACTGTCATTCAATAATAATGGCTATTACAGTACTGAGAATAATCACAATCATCAGGATTACACACTCAAAAAGTTTTGGGGCAAAGCGGTCACAATGCAAAAAATATTAATGGTCCGAAAAATAGTTGATTTTTTTAAGCAAAATATAATTTTGTAATAATGAGATGGGAGCGGTTTTTGTTTGAATGAGATAGACTGTTAAAAGTCTGTTAAAAGGATGTGTGTTGAGTGATAGTGTTGGGAATGTGTTCAGAACTCTTCCTCCTCAGAACTCAGATGACTCTGTTTCTTGCGGACGTTCCAGTGTAAACATTGAGCCAGACTCTCGAACCAGTCGTTCACCGGATCTCGGAAACAGATGGAAGGAACGGGGAAGCATGAAGACGTGATGGTGATACTAGAAAGTAGAGAGGAAAATCATGCATCGGGTTCACGAGGAATCACTTTGACATGCATGCTTACATCATATCAATGCAAAAACACTGGCGTGACACATAAAAGGCACATTTTCCATGCGAATCAACATTGCTTAGGTAGATTACATACAAATTGTAGTCGGTTATAGATTACAAGTTACATGACAAAAATAGTTAGTAAAGTAATCCATTTAAAGTCCCTCTGTAGTCAATTTTATTCCTTAAAATGACTATTCCTTTGATCACCAAAATTATGCATTTAAATTGAAAAAAAATTCTTCATGCCTTACAATATGCAAATGAGCCCCGCCTCCACTCACTCACAGCAGCTCAGAGATCCTTAAAACTGCAGTGAACCAAAGACAGTGTCAAAAACACGGTTTGAAATCGCTGGTGTTTCTGACGTCACAAACGACCTTGTAACCAATCAGATCAACGTGTGATCGTCAACCAGTGGATCTCTGAGCTGAGTGAGTGAGTGGAGGCGGGGCTCATTTGCATATTCATTGAACCGCGTATACTAAATGAGGCAAGGGTGTCGAGTTACATTCAAGCTATTGTAAGGCATCAAGTCATTTTTCAAGGAAAAACATTTAAATATGTAATTTTGGTGATCAAATATGAGTTTTAAGGGATAAAATGATTGACTACAGAGGGATTTTAACTTAGAAAGAAAAAAGTTGGTGAATCGCATACAGTGCATGTAAATATGAAATTAGGAGAAATTGTAAATTTTAATGTGTTTGATGGACAAAAGCCTTCCAGAGACAGTAAACCATGGTTAAATAACTCCCTGAGTGATAATTCAAATAATAATTAATGTGTTTGTCAGGATCTTATTAAATATGCAGTGTTGCAATGTTGAGAAACACTTCTTAAAGTGAAATGATTTGTGTAGATCCTATTGCTCATGTTGACACCCAGCGTTGAAAGCTTTAAATGTGGAAGCTGAAGTCACGTACCTGTCCCCGTATGCAATCTCCTGGCGTTTCCTTCCATCGAGAGACACCCAGGCCGTGTTTCGGGCATCACGGGTCAGCATAATCTGAAATCACATCAGGGTTCAGTGAAAGTCCTCATGCAGTCCAAGCCCACGAGCAGAGGCTGTGGACCTAAGCCCTTAAAATTACTTAAAATAAGCAAAACAACGGGGCAATTATTGGTTCAAATAAAGTAATAAAAGCAAGTAATCATATGGTTTTATTGAACAACACTGCTTAAAATAAGTGAAAAAAATTATTTACATTATTACTATTAGTATTATTTACAAAATATTTTTTTTCTGTGATTAATTGCGATTAAAATCCCTTTATAAATACATTTAATAATGTAATAATTTCATAGTTAATCTCCAAATGAATGTAGAGACAACATATTTTAAATGCTTGTTTAATGGCATCTTTTAATGAATGAAGGCCAGTCTCACTGAGCTACACGATGTCTCGATGAAAATGATTCCCCCCCCCAATTTTAAACATTAATTATAGCCATTCAACATTACAGTGTCATTGAACTTAAAACAATCCTCACATAAACCCATAATAAATGTCGTATTTACCGTATGTGCCCTTCCAACCCTCACATAAACCCATAATAATGTCATATTTCTGTGATTTCCCTGTGAACAGGTGGTAAACACACAGGCTGGGCGGCGCGCTCACCTTGAGCTCCACGCCGGCCGGCACTACGATGGGTCTGAAGGACAGGGAGTGTGGGCAGATCGGTGTGATCATGATGGCGGGGACGTTCGGGTGGATCATTGAAGCTCCTGCTGCCACTGCGTATGCGGTGCTTCCGGTGGGAGTCGACACGATCACGCCTGAGAGAGGGCAGAGAGGCTTTTATCTTCTTTAAAGACTGTAAATGTTTAGAAAGTCAAATCAGACAAAACGCTTTCCTTGTATTTCCTCATTAGCATTTAGTCTTTTTCAGTACAAATATCTAAACCGATGATGATGGTTTGGTATCTACCTTTGTTTTCAAGTCGCCAAGCGCATTTACATGCACGTTCTTAACCCGATTATGCTTAGGTGTGGTCATGTTAACAAGTCATAAACGGCTTAAAGTCACCCTGTAGTCAATCATTTTATCCCTTAAAACTCAGCAAAAAGTCATATTTAAGCGTTTTTTTCCTTGAAAGAAAAAATTTGTTACGCCTTAAAATAGCTTGAATGTAACTCGACACCCTTGCCTCATTTAGTATGCGCGGTTCTATGAATATGCAAATGAGCCCCGCCTCCACTCACTCACTCAGCTCAGAGATCCACTGGTTGACGATCACACGTTGATCTGATTGGTTACAAGGTCGTTTGTGACGTCAGAAACACCAGCGATTTCAAACCGTGTTTTTGAGACTGTCTTTGGTTCACTGCAGTTTTAAGCAGAAAATACTCAGCAATGCTGTCGACTTATGAACTTACACATGGTGTGTCTTAAAGCATATTAAAAACACCACATACACATATAAACAACGGTTTGAAATCGCTGGTGTTTCTGACGCCACAAACTACCTTGTAACCAATCAGGTCAAGGTGCCGGCAGGCTTTCGCATATCATTAACAGTGAAGTAGGAGGGGAGTCTCCAGAGAAGCAGGTTATCCCGGTATATTTTTCTGTTGATAAATCGGGTAGATTTAGCAATATAGCGAGTGAATTATGTATGTGATGTATATTTCAATGTTATGATGAACTATATGCCTTTCTCCACTCATGTTCTGAGTTGTTCAAAGCGTTTCGTATACTGATGTTTATAAGGCTGCTGTGTGACTGAGATGCGAACGGGAACATGGTGTGTGTAACATTAGCAACACATTATTAGCGGTTTGATAACATAGTCAAGCAAAATGCTAATCAATTTATTAATTACCGTTATGTGTCCGACGTTGTAAAGAGCGATACCATTGTGCAGCGATTACTTCAGTAAGTTGGCCGAGTGGATCTCTGAGCTGAGTGAGTGAGTGGAGGCGGGGCTCATTTGCATATTCATAGAACCACGTATACTAAATGAGGCAAGGGTGTCGAGTTACATTCAAGATATTTTAAAGGCATGATGATTTCTTTTCAAGGAAAAAAACATTTAAATATGACATTTTGGTGATCAAAGATTAAGGGATACAATTATTGACTACAGGGGGACTTTAAGTGAACATAAACAGTTGTGACACATTTAAACGACATATTCTTCATGCCTTTAAATAGCTTGAATGTAACTCTAATGTAAGACTAAAATTTAGGATCAGTAAGATTAGCTTATTCCTCATTTCAAAAACAACTTGTTTAAAACGAAGTACTTCTCTTTAATCTTTTCACTACTTTAGGTCCACAAGAGAAATATTACGAAAATAACTGAAGAACTAAAGTAGATTCGGCTCTCATCGTCTCTGAGAGAACATGCACCGTTAATGCAGCGTCACATGATTTTACTTTCACTTTCTGTAGTGAATAATTGACAGGGGTTTCAGACTTCTCCACCGGCATAACTTTTTTTTTTTAAGTAAACTTAAACTTCCTGTCTAACAGGTAGGAAATATACAGAAATTGAATAAGGTTATCAAACAGTCTGCACTGCATACACTATAAATTAAATATAGACTAATCCTTATTAAAGCTACAAAAGTTATTTAGTCAAGAGCAGTGAGTAATTTTCTCTGTTATCTTTGTTCTTTGATTAACTTTACTGACAGAAAGCTTTATTGGCTGCTGGCCCTTTAAGAGCAGCCGCTGCTGACAGAGACGCGGTCTCACACTCATTCTCTCACGACTCTTCACGTTTATTTAAGACTTTGGTTAACTCATTTAAGGCTGCTCTTATGAGGATACTCGACAAAACTGACAGTTTGGCATAGAAGTGACTTAAACTGTAATTCATCGACTGTCCACTAGAGACCGGCTGCAAAAGAGAGTCAATCCCATAAACCCCCATGTTAAAATGCCCAACTTTACAGCAGAAAAATACATGTTTACAGCCTGTTGCAAAAAGTGGTTTTGGTCTATATAGCTAATTTTGCCCTTCATGACAACTGTGAATTTTATAACTCATCCGTTTAAATTATATTAAAACTTATACACGAATAGGAGAGTGGTCATATAATGTAACGCTAGCCAAAAGATGACAGAAAAACAGATGCTGCGTTAATTGCGTTAAATATTTTCAACGCGTTAAACTGTAAAAATGAATCGCATGCGTTAACACGTCAACCATACTTAAAATACATAATATAAAATGTACTTTACGCATTATAACAAGTGCCTGCAGAGGGCGCCAGCGGCCTGGTGATTGTTGTCACTAGTGATGGGAAGGTCGGATCATTTTACAGACTCGGATCTTTGAATCTCGTTCATCAAAATGAATAATCTTTTTTCAAGTCATTTTGTTAATTTCAGCAGAATATAACTAAAATGTTACATGTTAATAGCCAAACTCCTCAACGCATCTACTTATGAAACGTTAATCACATTTCGAATAAGAAAACACTATAATACAGCCAAGGTGTTAATTCACCTGCACCTCCCGGTCCGAGTCGCTCGCCCTTTTGTTTTGTCCCGTCACATCCCCAGTCTGAAGCTATACAGTCTGTACCGGAGACAGAAATGATCAGTTCACATCTCGAGTCTTCAGCTCCGAGTCGTTCGTTCTTTTGTCATGTCACCTCTTCCCGGCTCAGTATCTTGCAACAAATACAACACTTTCTCCATCATACGGATAAAGTTTAAAGCATTAACCATCTCTTTATTACCATATTCAATGTTATGGAAAAGAACCATCAGATCAGAATCACAAATTTATAAATAAGAACTAAAAAAGCTACAGTTTGAGACCAGAAACGCATCACATAACTGTATTAATAATTTAAAAAAATAACTAAGAGCTTGTTTGTATGGAAGGTTGGGAGTTATGGTTTCCAATACAACAATAGAACGAACGACTCGAAGACTCTGGAGGTGAACTAATCATTTCTGTTTCCGGTACAGAGCCTATAGGATGTTGCGCATGCGCGGTAAACACAAAATGAACGAATCACTCTCGGAGTCAACTCGACGTTCTCGAGTCATATTAAAGATTCATTCGAAATCTTTAATATTTGGCGACTTCTGATACTTATGAAAGAAATACAACATGTGGACATCAAAGCATGCAATGCAAATGTTGAAACGCTGAAATCGCGATGAACAACAATTTAGAAACATACTGATGTATTCTCCTGTGTTGGCGTAGGTCTATAAATGATTCACCTTACAAATCTGATGAAGTGGCGCATGTTGCGTTCCCAGATGAACATTATAAGCAACCCAAACGCACAGCATATGCGTAAATAATAATAATCTTTTACATTGTAATCCTTTTATTTTTAATATTTGGCTAGTTTTTGTGCTGCTGCGCGTTCCTGTATGTGTAATAAGCAGTGTGGGTGTGTGTAATAAGCAGAGTGTGCGTGAGTTGTGGACCCGCCGATAGGCTCATATTACTAACGCGCTCCTTAAATAACAAAATAACCGTATTACTGTGAAAAATAACCGTATCACTGTGCATCAAGTGCTGAGGAAGAGCTGAGATTCAGATATGCTAATGGAAGTTTGGTTTCCAATACGCGCTGTAAGTGGTCGACCAATCACAACAGACTGGGCCGTCTGACCAATCAGAGCAGAGCAACTCAGAAAGGCGGAGTTTAGAGAGACTGAATCCTTGATCGAACCGTTTCAGACACTGTGAGAAAAGAGCTGATGCTGCAATGGAGATTATGAGTGTTTTTTTTTACCTTGGATGCATGTAAACCTATTGTAGGAGACTCCAAAACAAAACTAGGGACCTTTAGATAGCATAATAGGGGAACTTTAAACGTAAATTAATCCATTAAGGATGTAGTTTTTTTTTTTTTACAGGAAACACACAGAAAGATAAAGGTATAATAGACTATGTCGACATGTCACGACATGAGTAATTCACTGGATTACACTGGTTCACACTAACCGTCTCCCTGAACGGTGGTGATCAGGTGACCATCCAGAAACAAGTCCAAATTAGAGAGGTAGGACGATGGACCTCTGTCTACAACAACTTCATTCAGCACCTGATAGAGGAAGACAGATTTATTATTTACAGAAAATATCACAACAGCTTTACACATGAAAATATCGGAAAGCAACAAATAAAACAATTGAATAACTGCCCAAAAAGTAACCAGTCTGAAGTAAAGAATATCATTGTTCAAGTTGGTGATATTAACATGATATCAGATTAAGGATTAAGTGGACCTATTGTGCAAAAATCACTTTTACTTGGTGTTTGAACATAAACGTGTGTCAGCAGTGTGTACACAACCACCCTATAATGGTAACAATCCACCCACTCCTTTTATTATATTCTCCATAAATCATAAACAGTGACTCAAAACGAGTCGTTCGCGTTTTCTATACATTGTGTCGCCACGATGTAACAGACCCCGCCCACGATCCTGTATCAATGAACACAGAACACGTTTTTCCATCTCACTTGTCCATTGCTTTTCTATGCAAACGTGCAGTAAACGAGCTGTAAAGGCCCCGCCCTCTTCTGACTGGAATAACCTTCCTCTTTTCTTGAGGTCTATTTCCACAATTGGCTTATTCAAATCGTCACTTTTTCTTTTCTTAAAACTACATGTTCTTGTCATTAGGGACACCAATGGTATTTACATATAAATGATTTATGTAGAAAACATTTAGTAGTATCTATACAATTATGATTTTCTTTGTCTTTTTTTCTTTATCTTGATTTCTTTGGGAGATGTGACGTTATCCTGCATGTTACATTTTGTTATAAGGCAAATCGATAAATGATGCATTAGTTTAATGCATTTGGCTGACTATGTGTTAATATACTTTAATATGTGTGCTATTGTAATTGTGGGGTACGGGCAGGTGAGCGAGTTATTATTTTGTGCATATGTCTGTGTTTATATTGTGTTTATGTTTTTTTTAGTGCTGTCAAACGATTAAAATATTTAATCGCGATTAATCGCATTAATGCCATAGTTAACTCACGATTAATCGCAATTAATCACACATTTTTATCTGTTCTAAATGTCTCTTGATTTCTTTTTGTCCCATTATTTTTTTCTCATTTTAATGCTCTTATCAACATGGAAAAGTGGATCGGCTTGCTTTGTGCAAATGTTTTTTATTGAAAACAACATTGGCATTTACTGTGTTCAATTTCACACTAACATTCTCACTTGGAGCAAATAATCTCTCACACAATGTAACACTGTCCATCAATAAACGGGTGAAAGAAATACTGACGAGGTCCTGATATTGACGAGGGGGCGGAGAATTCGCATCAGCTGTGTGTGTGTGTGTGTGTGCTTGGCCATCAAGTGGTGTTTCAGACTGGACGTGCTGCGATGATGATAGCTCAGTTCACAACGACAAAACACACAGATAACTTTGGTCTTGTCAATGGGACCATTTGGCAACTTTTTAAAAGTAAACTTTCAATTCAGGATCTTATTGGCATCCATTTCGGCGTCTCGAGCTCGTCATCCGCTCAAAACGTAACGATAACCAACCATTTCGCCGGCTCGCAAGCCTAAACAAGTGTGTGCGTCGTGCCTGTTGTTTTGTTTCCGGTCTAGCTAGATCCGCTTGCGCTTTGGTCGACGAATTAACAAAACGTCCTCGCGCGGCACAAGCCATTGAAATGAATGGGTTTCACCGCGCAGCGCCGCGTCCTGATGCAAAAGCATGTGAAAAAAAACTGCAAAGTTTGCTAGGCCAAAAAGACCGTTAATCGCGCGATAAAAAAATTAACGCCGTTAAAATGGGTTTGCGTTAATGCCGTTAATAACGCGTTTAACTGACAGCCCTAGTTTTTTTGTATATGTACCGTGTGTTTAACCTTTGTGTCTGTATGTTGCAGGACCCCCTTGAAAATGAGATGTTACATCTCAAGGGGTTATCCTGAAATAAATTCAAATTCAATTCTGGAAAGGGGGCGGGAGAAGCAGCTCATTTGCATTTAAAGACACACACACACAACAGCACGTTTATGCTTTCACACATAAAGTAGCATTTTTGAGCATGGTATAATAAATGCTCTGTGGAGCTGAAACTTCACATACACATTCTGGGGACGCCTGAGACTTATATTACATCTTGGCCCCTAATAGGTCCCCTTTAAAATCAATTAGTCAGTTGGCTGGCAGAAAGACAAGTAACTACTGAGAAAGCCTTTTATTATTAAGGGTCATATACACCAGGCATTTCTTAGTGACATGGACATATACTGTAGTTGTTAATCTTAGGCCTTCTGACAGAGATATTCAACAAGTAAATATGCTAAATGGCCTTTCAGTACATGATACTATCAGTCCACACACACATCATTTCTGCATAAGGAAAGGAGAACTGCAAAGAGCAAACTACTGCATTGAATTTGTTACAAAAGTACTGCTTTTATTCAAATAAATGGTTTGACAGCATGCCGTGCTTTACTGTGCAATGTAAGCGTGCAAAATTTCTTGTTTGCAGTGCATGATTATTAAAGAAAGCAATCTCAATGTTTGTAATGTTACAAAACACCATCGAGGAGCACCGCACCATGTTGTGTTACATGTAGGACAATAACAGCTTTTTGCACATATCATCACTTCTTAGTTTTTTGTTATCAGTGATGTGCATTAGGGTATAATTGTTACATCTTGAACAGTTAATGTAACGAGAATACTGGAAAAGAAGTGTAGATCCCTGTATTATAAGAGGAAGTGTGGCACTCACTTGATACTGCATAGTTTTGTGTTTGGGTTCAGAGTCTCCGTTAGTGATGATTAAACTCGATTCCTCCACAGGTGCCTTCTCTCTGCACTCTTTCACTACCTTCACTTGCAGACGACTGCGTAAAATAATCGCAGCATTTCCTACAAACAGAACAAGAAAACACGGCATAAATCCTCTACACATACAACCATTACATTTCTACACTGCATGAAAACAATGCTGTCAGCTGTCTAGGTAGGCAGCAAACTAGATTTTGAAACACAGCTATGGTTGTCATGAAAAGAGGGACGGTGTGAACCCAAACAAGCCATAATAAAGAATTTGATCAGTCACGGTTTATTTCAATAGTCCACTTTAGACATTCTACTAACTATAAGTAACTTTGAAACTACTAACCTGAACCCTAACAGTCTACTAATACTCTAATGAGAGTTAGATGACATGTAGTTGCAAAGTTACTAAAGTAAGACCATCGAAATAAAGTGTAACCATTTGATTTTACATGCTGAACTTCAAAAATCACTCTAAAATCTATTAGATTGAACTGATGTCTATTGTTGGTCCCACTCCCAGGTAAAGCAGTTTTCATAAAGCAATTTACCTTACTACTCTGTGACACAAGAGCAATAGCATTCCTATAAATGGATACTTTAGCACAATACAGTTGCAGAAGTGTAAAGATTATTGAAAGAAACCAGATGGGAATGTCCAATATTTCAGACCCTTTTGACAACCGGGAACCTGAGAAAAGTGTCACAAATATAAACTGTGAAAAACCAGATGTCCTCTTACTGTGTAATGACTTACCTTCTATAACCTGGTTGACCTGAGATTGGTATGTGTCGAAGTTAAATGGTGTAAGAAATCCCAGAGAACCCAAATGGAAGGCCATGACAGGAGGCACACTCTCCTACACACACACACACACACACACACACACACACACACACACACACACACACACACACACACACACACACACACACACTTATATTTAGGCTTTTAAAGGGTGTTCACAGTGACAGCAATTTGCAGTAACAAAGCTACAAAAAGTCACTCAATTTCAATTTGAGTTTGCAATCTCTGGCAACATAAACAACATAAGGTGAGCATGTACAATGCATGTACATGTACATGGCAATGACCAGGGGTGCAAAATACATTGAAAAAAAAAATAATCAAGATTATGATTACGGATGCCATGATTAACAAAGAGTGACACTTCCATTTACGTCACCTCCTGATGTGTTTAAGGTTTATATTTACAATGAGTGAGTGTTTGCACGGACTCACTGACTCACTGACTCACTGACTTAACATATTTTTTTGTCAGTACACTTAGATTCTCATTATTCTTTGTCAGTACACTTAGATTCTCATTATTCTGTAAATATTATATTAATTAAGAAAAGATTTTCAAACCTGGAAAAGAGAGGAGGCATACAGCAAAGTCCCATCTCCTCCCAAGCAAATGATGAAGTCGACACAATTGGAAATATCATCATAATCTATGAAACATGTCACATGTAAATTTTACACATTACATCTTTACTCAGGAACACTTCATTTTTTTAAGTCCTAAGCAGATTTTATAAATCACTGCAATGGTTTTCCTTAAATATTGGAGAACAGTCGTCAACTAAATGTAGCTGCCTATTTCTGTCAATTCAAGATCGATTATACTGTAGTTTAACTACTTTGAATTAACTGCTTAAAGTCCCCCTGTAGTGAAAATCGAGTTTCTAACGTTGTTTATATGTCTATGTGGTGTTTATAATATGCTTTAAGACAAACCATGTGTAAATTCATAAGTCGACAGCATTGCTGAGTATTTTCTGCTTAAAACTGCAGTGAACCAAAGACAGTCTCAAAAACACGGTTTGAAATCGCTGGTGTTTCTGACGTCACAAACGACCTTGTAACCAATCAGATCAACGTGTGATCGTCAACCAGTGGATCTCTGAGCTGAGTGAGTGAGTGGAGGCGGGGCTCATTTGCATATTCATAGAACCGCGAATACTAAACGAGGCAAGGGTGTCGAGTTACATTCAAGATATTTTAAGGAAAAAAAACATTTAAATATGTAATTTTGGTGATCAAATATGAGTTTTAAAGGATAAAATGATTGACTACTGAGGGACTTTAATTGTAACAGTTTCAAAGTAGCACATTACGTGGTTGTGTACAAGTCATTGAAATATATTCAACTGACAGCACACAATTTGTTAATATTCTATTATTAATAATCAATGCACACTGAAGCGCACACACACAAACAAATTACACGAGGTATAACAAAGTACTTTTGGATAAATCCTCACCTTCTCTAAAAGTGCAAAAGTTCTTCTTGACGGAGACAAAGCTCTCATTAGCAATGGCTGGATCTTCAATGACTTTTCTCTCCACATAAACAATCATATTTTTTTGCTAGAAGCCATTGATGCAGAGAACAAACACAACGACAGAAAAGAGCAAATATGAACAGATGTCAGGAAACATTATGCTTTGATTTACTCAATTGATTTGAACTAAAAAAAAAAACACTTAATGCAATCAATGACATACCAAAGATGCTCATTCAAATTTGCCAAAAATTCACAAACAGGTGTGGCCTTTAGGAATGTGCATATTACACAGGATTGCTGGCTGGTACACCGGTTCATCCAGTATACTGGTCTCAATTTCGCGTATAATATGCATTTTTTAAATGATTTTAAAAAATGATTTTAAATACCAGTGCGTTGCTGAAACAGTTTCTGCATCTATTCAATGGCCACGAAGATCGCAATATTGTGAGGGAACCTCTAATAACTGCAGATCATCATCAGCACTGCTTTCCATTGAACCATCTTTCCCTTTGATGCACACTCTCAACGGCCACATCTGCATTTCTTTATTCGGTCTTCTCACCTGTGTCAGAAAAACGCAGAGCTCTTTGAAAGGCTGTAGCAGACTGGCGTCTCTGATTTTCTTTATAATAAGGACACTTTTGGGTGGCTTGTTCCATGTCAACCTCTGACTGGCTGGATCTTGTATATGCCTGAATGAATAGATATGAACAACACACTTTTGTCAATATAGTAGGGGTGTAAAAATACCCTCGTGTCACGATTCGATACAATATTATTGCGGTTTTCCAAGACATATGATAAAAGGTTAACAAAAAATGCACTGTTGATTAAAATGATACATTTGGTTTTACATTGTGTGTGTAAATGAATAGACTTGCTGCTGGAAACCCAAAGCACAGGACAATAGAGACACCAGAATAAACATATTCATGATTCTGAAGCTGAAAATACAGAATTATTTTAGATGAATATGCTTGAACTCTGTCACCGACTAGATATATTTTAAATAATGTCGGCCATTTTTACTGGTAACATCAGACATTTGGCATTATCACAATCAGGACCCACAAATATTCCCCCATTGCATTAATATACATTATATATGGTAGTTTAATGTAGTACTGACACTAAAAATTGATTTTTTTTTTTTTCACAGTAATTTTCATTTTTGGTGAATTATACACAATACATATTGTCACCATCCACGATACATAATGTTGCATTTTTGTATTGAGATATACACTCACCTAAAGAATTATTAGGAACACCTGTTCAATTTCTCATTAATGCAATTATCTAATCAACCAATCACATGGCAGTTGCTTCAATGCATTTAGGGGTGTGGTCCTGGTCAAGACAATCTCCTGAACTCCAAACTGAATGTCAGAATGGGAAAGAAAGGTGATTTAAGCAATTTTTAGCGTGGCATGGTTGTTGGTGCCAGACGGGCCGGTCTAAATATTTCACACTCTGCTCAGTTACTGGGATTTTCATGCACAACCATTTCTAGGGTTTACAAAGAATGGTGTGAAAAGGGAAAAACATCCAGTATGCGGCGGTCCTGTGGGCGAAAATGCCTTGTTGATGCTAGAGGTCAGAGGAGAATGGGCCGACTGATTCAAGCTGATAGAAGAGCAACTTTGACTGAAATAACCACTCGTTACAACCGAGGTATGCAGCAAAGCATTTGTGAAGCCACAACACGCACAACCTTGAGGCGGATGGGCTACAACAGCAGAAGACCCCACCGGGTACCACTCATCTCCACTACAAATAGGAAAAAAAGGCTACAATTTGCAAGTGCTCACCAAAATTGGACAGTTGAAAACTGGAAAAATGTCGCCTGGTCTGATGAGTCTCGATTTCTGTTGAGACATTCAGATGGTAGAGTCAGAATTTGGCGTAAACAGAATGAGAACATGGATCCATCATGCCTTGTTACCACTGTGCAGGCTGGTGGTGGTGGTGTAATGGTGTGGGGGATGTTTTCTTGGCACACTTTAGGCCCCTTAGTGCCAATTGGGCATCGTTTAAATGCCACGGCCTACCTGAGCATTGTTTCTGACCATGTCCATCCCTTTATGGCCACCATGTACCCATCCTCTGATGGCTACTTCCAGCAGGATAATGCACCATGTCACAAAGCTCGAATCATTTCAAATTGGTTTCTTGAACATGACAAGGAGTTCACTGTACTAAAATGACCCCCACAGTCACCAGATCTCAACCCAATAGAGCATCTTTGGGATGTGGTGGAACGGGAGCTTCGTGCCCTGGATGTGCATCCCACAAATCTCCATCAACTGCAAGATGCTATCCTATCAATATGGGCCAACATTTCTAAAGAATGCTTTCAGCACCTTGTTGAATCAATGCCACGTAGAATTAAGGCAGTTCTGAAGGCGAAAGGGGGTCAAACATAGTATTAGTGTGGTGTTCCTAATAATCCTTTAGGTGAGTGTATTGTGACACAATATATTGTTACACCCCTACAATATAGTGTTGTTACATTTAACACTTGAAGCTCAATGGGTGATGAAAGAATAACTAAACATGTTAAGGATTAAAGAGTTTTTTTTACATGCAACTGATCATGGTGCTGTAAAACACAAACATACTATAAAAACTGACTTCCTTGTAAGTCCAAGAAGAGATCTTATTGAAACCAGGCTGACTCATTTACTTCCTTGTGTTTTTATAACGTAATAGAGATCAGCAGAGTGAGTAACAACAGCTACACCATTGCATTTAAGTGCAGTAATAAGGACAGACAGGAGAATTACTCAAATCTAAATCACTGCAATTGAAAATGACATTAAGGATCCAAAGGAATTAGAAGAGCGGCTGTTTATTTTCAATTATGTAAATGTCTAAGTAGAGTATTATTTGTTCTGTAACTGTTCATTTCACTGTGGATTATTTGGTAAACAAGCCACAATTTGGCTCAGGCTTTGCAAACAGACTCTTACAGAAAGATGGTCCTGATAGTAATGCCGCAACAAGTAAGAAACAATGTTAATTCTAATGTGTAATCGGTGATAAGAGATTTCTGATACGCAAAGACTTGTGCACAGTCAGACGTTCTTAGTCACATAATCATCTAATGCTGTTTAAGCATCACTATGACCTGGTTTCACACACAAGCCTTAGATAGATTAAGTCAGGATTAGGCCTTAGTTAAATTCGGATATTTAAGTAGCTTTTATAAACGTTCCTTAGAAAAAAACATTACTGTTGTGCATATGTCAATGCAAGTTGCTTTCAGTTAAGATAGCTCAAACATGCTTTTTAGTCTGAGAACAGAGGGTGTGCGTGTGCCGTCACCGTCGGCCGGAGTGACGGCGGTTACACACACCGAGAGGCAGAAACAGACCGAGTGGCAGAAACACAGACCGGCAGAAACACTGAGTGGCAGAAACACAGAGCGGCAGAAACACCGAACGGCAAAAACACACAGAGCGGCAGAAACACTGAGTGGTAGAAACACACCGAGTGGCAGAAACACTGAGTGGCAAAAACACACCGAGTGGCAGAAACACTGAGCGGCAGAAACACTGAGCGGCAGAAACACTGAGCGGCAGAAACACTGAGTGGCAAAAACACACCGAGTGGCAGAAACACTGAGCGGCAGAAACACTGAGCGGCAGAAACACTGAGTGGCAAAAACACACCGAGTGGCAGAAACACTGAGCGGCAGAAACACTGAGCGGCAGAAACACTGAGCGGCAGAAACACTGAGTGGCAAAAACACACCGAGTGGCAGAAACACTGAGCGGCAGAAACACTGAGCGGCAGAAACACTGAGCGGCAGAAACACTGAGCGGCAGAAACACTGAGCGGCAGAAACACTGAGCGGCAGAAACACTGAGCGGCAGAAACACTGAGCGGCAGAAACACTGAGCGGCAGAAACACTGAGCGGCAGAAACACTGAGCGGCAGAAACACTGAGCGGCAGAAACACTGAGCGGCAGAAACACTGAGCGGCAGAAACACTGAGCGGCAGAAACACTGAGTGGCAAAAACACACCGAGTGGCAGAAACACTGAGCGGCAGAAACACTGAGCGGCAGAAACACTGAGCGGCAGAAACACTGAGCGGCAGAAACACTGAGCGGCAGAAACACTGAGCGGCAGAAACACTGAGCGGCAGAAACACTGAGCGGCAGAAACACTGAGCGGCAGAAACACTGAGCGGCAGAAACACTGAGCGGCAGAAACACTGAGTGGCAAAAACACACCGAGTGGCAGAAACACTGAGCGGCAGAAACACTGAGCGGCAGAAACACTGAGCGGCAGAAACACTGAGCGGCAGAAACACTGAGCGGCAGAAACACTGAGTGGCAAAAACACACCGAGTGGCAGAAACACTGAGCGGCAGAAACACTGAGCGGCAGAAACACTGAGCGGCAGAAACACACCGAGTGGCAGAAACACACCGAGTGGCAGAAACACACCGAGCGGCAGAAACACACCGAGTGGCAGAAACACTGAGCCTAGCCTAGCTTTTACTCAAGCATTAAAACCAATAGAGGTTATACGTGTGGCGTCACCGTCGGCTGGAGTAACTGCTGTTACACACACTGAGTGGAAAACACACAAAACACATCTAAAACGGGAAATAGCTATTAGATTGACTGTATAAATAGATTTGACAAGAAATCTGAGGTATATTTTTACAGACTGCCGAAAGCTACAGAACAGAGAAGCAAATGATCGCTGCGATTCACAGAAACAACTGGATCCACACAGAAAAAGGCGGATTTGCAGTTATTTTGTGTCATTATGCTGAATTTAGGGGTAAAATCATACCCTACTGTACATATTGTTATATATTGACAACTCATCATTTAAATATTTACCATTGTATATTCTGCATAATTGGATGTTTTTAAATAAATGATGTTTTATAAACAAAGTTCGGGAGGAGCACGTTCAAATAATCATTCCAATCAACTGGTCATCAAACAATTACCATGTCTACCCTATCAGCACGAGAAGGAGCATATAAATATTCACTCTGTCAACTCACCTAACATTCCTTGACAGTTTCAGCATCCCTCCACCACCCCGACTCCTCACTCTTGGCTTATCTTATTTATTTATTTCACAGCCAGGAATACGGGGGGAGTGCTCTGGGTTCGGGCCGAACACCTAACTCGGAGCCCTCTCCTCGGACAGCACGCCAAATACGCATTTATTCTATCTGACTTATTTGTAAGTGTGAACTCGTGAAACACTAACAAAAATACAAGTTTTAGTGCTGGACGATATGATGATGTATATAACATTGATGTCAGTGGTCACCCAGATTTAGACCTATATTGTATTTATATAAAGCGTTCACAGGCAAATTTGCTTTATGTATTTCCCCGATGTTGAAATCAGGCACATACAATGTTTTGACTAAACCATCAAAACTGTTCCTCTTACGAGAAATGAAAATCATCTGTTGCGAAAAGCACTACCGTTCAGTGCGGGCTCTCACCAAAATCCCCATTATAATCAACTACGCGGTTTACATTTCACAATGAAACTCTCATTTACATTGTGTTTGTTATGATGAAAGCATTAGTGAAATTGTGAGATCATTGCATTCGTGGTCATAGCAGACATGACTGTGCTGGGCTACAGTCTCAGTGCTGCAACCTTTTATGCTTACTATAGTCAACACTCACAATTATTTAACCTCGGCATCTGCTGTAAAAGGCAACCGTGGTAAAATGACTCACATGACAGCTTTAGGGTTCTTCAGCATGCAGGCTTTGGGCCCAAATGTGGTGACAGGGCTTGGTCCATGAAGTGACTGTGTCCTCCTTTAAAAGAACAGAAAGATGACAAACATGACTATAGCATGGACCTCTGTTTTTAAGCATATAATATAGCTGCAGGCAGCGATAATGGGCCCAAGCACTATGGTACCATCACAAATGCACAGTGAAAACATGCATTTAAATGAAAGAGGACTATGTCTATATCGGTTGTTCTGAAAATAAAATAAAAAGAATGATAATATATACAGTATTCCCCCAGTATATACTAGTTATGAGCTTCAAAAATGGTGCATTAAACTTTTAAAAGACTGCAGTGGTATATAGTGTGGGAAAGTATATATATAAAAAAAAAAAGCAATCTTCCCCTTTACCCACATGACATTCAATATCACAGCACAGAACTAGTACAACATTTTGTAAAGCAGAAGTGTTGCAAGTGTGGAAAGACTGATATAGTTGTGTAAACTATGTGGTAAGATAAGGCATTCGTGTGTTGGATGAAACTATATATACAAAATTGGTGAAATCAGTCTACAGATCAGCTTCCTACCAGGAAACTACTACTGAGAGAAACTGACAGTGACACTAAAATACACTGTAATACATCATCCAAACAGGTGTTTCACTGTCACGGCTATAAGTTGTGTATTAACTCTAAAGTACACCCGATATACTTCCAGCGAAATTGAAGAATGAATTGGTGTGATGTCAAATCCACACACTCCTTTTTTTTATAATCCCCATAAATCACAAACAACAAGCGATTCCAGATAAGCCCCCTTTAAGTCCCTGACAGACAGTCTTGTTTTACCTGAACCTAGCAGAGCAATGTGCTGGTGGCATAGACATACTCCTGGTTTTAGTCCTGTTCCGGAACACTTTCCCACGGAAAGGCTCCTCACCGCTATCACAGGCTGGGCAACACTTGGGAAAAGGCTCTGAGCTCGAATCTGACTTTAGAGTCCATTTAGACTCGCCTGAATTCTCCATCTGGATGGCAAAGTTGGAACAAAAAGACAAAATATGAGTGTCAGTTCACAAATACACTGCATAATACACACAGAAAGACACAGTCTGCCAAGTTTCTCCCAGACTTACACACACTAACATGCAACATGCCGCATTCAGGAAAAAAAACAAAACAACAACACTTAACAGAGAGCAACAATGTTCCACTTCTTGAAATGGTCTATGTTCTGCATACCTATGCGGACACTGTCACTAAGCAAGTTCGTAAGGTCAAAAAGTCAAATAGTTGCTCTCTTTGTGTTGCAAGTATTCAAGTATTTTCTCTTTCTTGCAGATTCAGGAAGCTTTCACACTGGACACGTTTGCTGTGGTCAGAGTCGGAGCACAAGGGTTCCCGATTAAAACTCGATACTGTCGAACCCCGGTGCATTTCATCTTACGTCATCGCAAACGTGCAAAGCACATGATAGAAAACATACAGTGTTTTCTATTAATTTGGTGCTATTATGCACGGCAGAGTGAACGACACTTGAGTTCACAGTATGTGCGTCGCATGAAGGCATTCTTTTGAGAATGATTTCCTATATCACAACTTTTTTACTTTAGTCAAACCAACTTAGATAATTGATGTGGTTCAGATAACAGAGTATGTTGAGTTTCTGTTGATTGAACCAATATCTATTGTATTAACAAAAAAAATTAATTTCAATTTTAAGGCAACCAGATAACTTACTTTTTTAAGTTAACCCAACAATAATTTACAGTGACGACGAGGTGGGAAGTCGTGTTTACGTCGAAGCAAGATGGCGGTGTACCTTCTCTTAATTAACTACACAAAAATACAGCAATAATTTTAAACTCTATTTCTAAAAACATACAAAGAATGTGCATCAGGTTTCTTTTTTTATGTTTTTAATTAGTTTACTAAGCCACTGTAAAGTTTATCATTACATATTATATTATTATATTACAATGCTACTATATTTTGTAAAGGAAATTAGCTGATTTTGTTGTAATTTTGTAAATAAAAAAGCCTGGCAATGTCACTGCTAAATATCTATAAGTATTGTGATATTCCATCACGTTTCTCACTGACACGCCCCCAACTCCCAAATCGGGGCTTAAAGAAAATCCTGAGCTTCTCACTCGTATTGAGACTTGACAATTTAATTCTTAAGACATTCCTCTTTAAACACAATAAGTATCAGCTGTTTGAAAAGTTACCCACATTTGGTTTTCAACCATTGAAAATTGTACAATTTGAACATGGAGCCACATTGAGATCGCCATATCTATAAGACTGAACCATATAGGGCCTTTTAAATGAAAATTAAAAAAGAAAAGTCTATTAAGAATGCGATATCTTTAATATTTTTACAGGCACACAAACTTTGGAAAAAAACAATATTTAGGCTATGGCACTCTGACAGCCATGCAATTATGTTGATAGTTAAAAACGAGATATTTCTATCTTCAACATTATTAGTTCTTCCTATATTCCTCTTTAAAAGAAAAAGCATCAGCTGTATGCAAAGTGACCCACATGTGGTTTTTGAGCACTAAAAATATGATTGAGATGTGAAACGTTGAGATCCCCATATCTCTGGAAATTAACCATATTGAGCCTTAAAACATAAGATACCAAAAGAAAAGTTTGTAAAGAGTTACAATATAAAAGTATATTAATAGATCTTAAATAATTCCTGAGTCACAGGCATGCAAACTTCGGGGTAAAAAACACAAGAAGTGCTTTTTCCTCATTTTCGAACGGTCACTGTTATGCAACAAAGATTGCTCAAGTCAGCAGATTTTACTAATAAACCTACCAACATCAAATAAAGTAATGCTGATGTCATCTTTCTTAAAGGGATAGTTCAGCCAAAAATTAATATTCTGTCATTATTTACTCACCCTCAAGTTTTTCCAAACCTGTATGAATTTCTTTCTTCTGCTGAACACAATTGAAGATGGAGTGAAGAATATTGGTAACCAGTTTACGACACCCATTGACTTCCATAGTAGGAAAAAAATACAATGAAGTTAATTATGACAGAATTTTAATTTTTGGGTGAACTGTCTCTTTAAGTAATTTTTACCCCCTGTAATTTAGGGGTAAAAAGCCTCCAAATCTCATGTGAAAATATGTCATTTTGACTCCCTCTACAAAATAGTGAATTCCTCAGTAAATATACATCCATGACATTTAATATTTTGCCTTTCTTCTTCATTTATGAATTTTTTTCACCAAAATAATGATCAAAATCAAAGATTTAAGCTGGTGAACTCTGGCTCTGGTTGAGATGACACGGATTGACCCAATAGACTGAGCCTTCATTATACTATTACACAAAGCCTGAAAGTTTACACACTGATTGTTCTTTAGTGGAAAATCTTGTTTATAAGCTTGTCTAGACAGCATTTTTGTCGTGATCCGACGTATACACCTGCGATAGCCACAATCATACACGAGCCACAATACGCTATCGCTATAAACGGTTCAGTTTGACAGAAGAGTTATGAAATAAAAGCATTTCAGCATAGGTTTAATGAGTTAGCCGCTAATGAGAGTAACAGTACTGTACCTAACACAGACTCGATCCCGATCCTTTAAAAAAAAACAGCTGATGTTTAGCCCACTGTAAGGCTAACAATAAAGCAGGCGTTGTCCCCTGTGACTCTGGGTGTAGAATAATAATACTTCCATCGCTATATGTTTCTGGACGGATAAAAGGCTAACAGGTTTCAACAGTCTCTCTTCAGCTGTCATATATACACGAGCGAACACTTCCTCGAGATGACATCAAACCTCTGCGCCCATTGGCTCGTTCTGAGAGGCGGGGCTTGGCTTGGCTCATGAATATTCATTGCTTAAAGCAACTTTCACCAAACACAAAGATTACTAATATTTTTTTTAAATACTGTTATTCCCCCACTTTTGAGATGCTAAATCAAAGTTGTTGTTTTTTAATTGCTTGAATAAAATAAAAAAACGTATTAATTAAATGATATATCATAAATAGCCTATAGCCTAATAGCATATTAAGATACACACACACACACACACACACACACACACATATATATATATATAAAGATACACACACACACACACACACACACACACACACACACACACACACACATATATATATATATATATATATATATATATATATATATATAAGATATATACACACACACAAAGCAATGTCTGTGAAGTTTAACCTGCCTCTGAAGTTTAACCTGTGATTCCCATCGGTCCTGGATGGAGTTATGGTTTATGAACCCAGCTGAATGTTAAGTTGGCTGAGACCCAGAGGTGTAAAGTCCAGGGGTCAGAAAGTAAAAGTCCTGCCATTATGTTTATTCCACCCATGAACTCTAATCCATGAACAGCTAATCACTAATTAGTTCTCTCTCCTGGCTGAAGAACTGTGTTAATTAGCAAATCCAGGTGATTGGAACAGGAGGACTTTTACTTTCTGAACCTGGACTGTACACTTCTGTGGAGAACACAAGCAGTTCTGTCTTTACAAGGTTTAGTTGAAGGTGGTCCTCCTTCATCCAGCAAGAAATGTCTGTCAGGCAAGCCGGGATGCGAGCAGCTCCCGTCGGATCATCTGGCTGGAATAAGAGGTAGAGTTGTGTATCGTCAGCATAGCAGTAATATGAAAGACCATGTTTCATGTAGATTGAGAAGAGAAGCGGTCCCAGCACTGAGCCCTGAGGCACTCCGGTAATGACTGAGATGTTGCGACATAGACACCTCACCCCTCCAAGACACCCTGAAGGACCGACTGAGAGGTAGGACTTGTTCCTGAGATGCCTTTCATCTTGAGGGTTGACAGGAGCATCTGGTTAACAGTGTCAAAAGCAGCAGACAGATCCAGCAAGATGAGAACTGAGGATTTGAAAGCTGTCTCAAAGCTTCGATAACTCAGTTGAGTGGCTGCATTTATTGTTGGCACTGCAAAATATTCAATATGGACCTGAAGAAACATTGTGAAAGAATTGTGAAATAAATATATGGCTGTGTTTAAAAAGAAAACTGTATTTACAAATACTGTGTAATTATGTTAAAATGGAAGATAATACTTTTTAGTAATTTGGTGACATCAGATACGAAACAACTAAAGTAAAGCGGAGTAACAACTGCTTTCAGAAGTTAATTTTAAATGCTTTATTATTTATGTTTTATATTTTTATTTTTAAACTGTATTGAAATTCAATATTTCTTCCCGCCCAAATCTTACTTTCCCAGCAGCCACAGGGTATTTTCAATGTTGTTTGCTCAGAGCCCAGAGGGGAAGATCTGCTGGCTTTACATGAGTTGCTTGAACTCCACATTCAGCTTTGGCTGTGCTGTGGTCAGCTGGCTGTATGTGACCACAAATACATGAACTACATCATATTGTAGTGTTGTTTAACTGTCTTCAGACGAAAAATTCTCAATTCGCACCACCATCAATGCCTTCATCGATCCGCTCGGCGCTCAAAGGCTGAGCGAATTCCTCAGTAAATATACTGGATGTATACAGTATGGATGTATATTTAAATATACATTTAAGTAAATATCGAAAACGTATATTGATATATTTTTTTGTTTTTGTGTGTGTGTACAGTTGTAATTGAAGAAGAGTCCATACCCCTGTTAAAACGACAGTTTTTTGTGATGTAAAAAAATGACTTTTGAACCTTTAGTGTAAAAATTACAACTTAAAGTCGCCCTATAGTTGATCATTTTATCCCTTAAAACTCATCTTTGATCACCAAAATAACATATTTAAACGTTTTTTCCTTGAAAAAAATCTTAAAAAATCTTGAATGTAACTTGAAGCCCTTGACTCATTTAGTATGTGCGGTTCTATGAATATGCAAATGAGCCCCGCCTCCACTCACTCACTCACTCAGCTCAGAGATCCACTGGTTGACGATCACACGTTGATCTGATTGGTTACAAGGTCGTTTGTGACGTCAGAAACACCAGCGATTTCAAACCTTTGGTTCACTGCAGTTTTAAGCAGAAAATACTCAGCAATGCTGTCGACTTATGAATTTACGGTTTGTCTAAAAGCACATTAAAAACACCACATAGACACATAAACAACATTAAAAGCTGGATTTTCACCACACGCTTTAACCTCCTACAACCTGGCATCCACATATACGTGGACATCACATTTTTGGTTGTTGTGTGCACCATAATACTTAATTCTGTGTAACTGGAACCTGATGTACACAAACATGGACACTTATACTGCCATCTGGTGGTGTCAGAAGAGAACAACACTTTACATAGAAATTTCAAGATGGCGGAGAACACATCTGAAAAGTCAGGCAGCCACACCAGACCAAGACGTCCACAAGGTAAAACATTGAATAAAGTTGTTTAACTCTTGTTAAGTTATGCATAATACTAGTGTTGAATGATTAATATGGCATGCAAATTGAGGTCCACATATGTGGACAATGGGACTTAGCTTTGTTGAAAATGTAAATGAACTTACAATAGTTTCCAACAATATAAATTGACATTGCAGGTGTGATAAATAACTTTACATTGATTTTTATTTTATTTTTCTCATGATATCATTTCCAGAGCTTATTCCTTTGTCTAAGGTACAGGAATTACTACTCAAGGCAATTTCCGGGGACAACTCAGAAGTGGAGGACTTGTCTGACATTGATGACGCCATAGATGATGTTGATTCCCATCCTCCACAACAGGAGCCGAGCAGCAGTGAGGAGGGGTAGACCCCGCTCCACAGTCCACTGAGGCCAGCCGTGGACGTAAACGTCTCCGTGGTGAAACTTAGGTTATCGTTCAGACCCTAGCATTGACATTTTGCGCACTCCTAGATGTCGGACTCAGCTGGGTTGAGTCTGCTGGCTCAAATGATTACCCTGAAGAGCCAACACCACGACCAAGCTTTCAAGGACAACCCTAGCAAGGACGAAGTGCCAAACCTAGCCCAGTTTGAGCCACACTGGACTGGACAATGCTCATCTGGGCATCATGCAATTTCTTAATTGCATAATTAAGCATAACAATGCACAGAAAGACATGTACTGTACCTCTCAGTCAAGTCAAGTCCTCTTCATTTATATAGCGCTTTTAACAATGTAGATTGTTCCAAAGCGGCTTTACAGTGATAATAGGAAATTAAAGTAACAGATTGTTTTGGCTTTATGGCAGCTCTAGAATAAAGTTATTTTCCAGTTAATGTTAGTTTTGATTGATTCACTTCCGTTGCAACGATCATTAGTTATTAACTTAGGGGCCGCTAACACAACACCGTTCTAACAGAAAACTCTTAAGTTCTCTCTACGTAGACTTTAAAAACGCGAACCTCCCCTAGGATTCGGAAAGAGTTTCTCCAGAAAAATAAGAGTGATGGAGGCTTAGCTCTCCCTAATTTCTTATATTATTATTGGGCAGCTCAAGTTCAAAAGATAGTCTACTGGATGAACTCATCAGGCACCACTGATTGGTGTGAAACAGAATCTAAATCCTGTACAGCAACCTCTTTACAAGCCCTAGTAACATCGAGCCTACCTATTAAAATAGCACATTATACATCAAATCCGGTTGTTCACTCTACTCTTAAAATATGGACTCAGCTACGCCAGCATTTGCAGTTAAGACAAGCACTTCTGCTTCAGAGCCCAATATGTACTAATCATGCATTTCTCCCTGGCAAACTAGACTCCGCATTTAAGCAATGGCAAGATAAGGGCATTGCTCAATTTGGTGATCTTTATATTGACGGTCTTTTTGCTAGTTTTAACTATTTGCGATCCAAATTCAATCTCAATCAAACTGATCTTTTTCGTTATTTTCAGACACGACATTTTGTGAATGCGCAAAGCCCATCATTTCCATATATTTCATCTAAGTCTCCTGTAGATTCTCTGCTTGAAGCTCCCCTCCATCTACAAGGTTTTATTTCAAGAATTTATACGATTTTCATGTCTTTAAAAAGTGTAGGAACAGACAAAGTTAAAAGTGGATGGGAGAAAGAGCTTGGAACAGTATTTTCAGAGGAATTCTGGAGTAATGCCCTCCATAGAGTGAATGGTAGTACCTCCTGTGCCCGATTGAGTTTAATACAGTTTAAAGTTTTGCATCGTGTGCACCTAAGCAGAGCAAGGATTGCTTCTTTTAATCCTACTTTTGATAAGACCTGTATAAGATGTCACACTGGAGAAGCGGATCTAACTCACATGTTCTGGACGTGCCCCACACTTACTGCTTACTGGTCAACCATATTTGATACACTCTCTAAAGTATGTAAAGTACAACTGAAGCCATGTGCTGAATTTGCTATATTTGGTGCTCCAGCGGAGGAATCGAATCTGACTCTGAGACAACTAAACATTATTGCTTTTGCATCCTTACTGGCTCGCAGACAGGTGTTATTACATTGGAAATCTGCAAATCCACCTAAAGCATCGCATTGGCTTCAGGATTTGATGTTATACCTACACTTGGAAAAGATCAAATATTCAATTAGAGGCTCCCATAAATTCTCTTATGTCTGGCAACCCTTATTATCCTATTTTTCTGCTGTAAATGTACTTCCTGAGGAGTAGTGGGTTTTACATTGGTGTTATAACTCTCTCCTTTACACACACATGTAAAGATTGTTTACAATCTCGAGGTCTTTGATGCTCAGGCACATGTGTTCCAGCAGGTGCTTTTCCAGGTATTTACATGTGTAAATATTTAGGATTTGTGTTTATTGATGTATCATTGTTGCACCTTTGATTGTGGTGTCCA